TTTTGTGTGTCTCTCACATATTTTTTCTCTCCTCAATATATATATATATATATATATATATATATATATATATATATATATATATATATATATGTTTGGTTTTTTTCCTCATCTTAACCTGAATTTGTTTAGATGTTAAATGGATTCGTGAGGGCGACGACGAGCCCTAAAATGAGAGAGGTTACGCCATGTCACTCAGGTGAGCCGTCGGTTTCTCCAGATATGGAGATTTCAGTCTTTTTTTTTTTTTTTACCTCTGCTTCATTTCAGAACCTTGCGTCATGACAGGGACGAGTTGCTAAAAGATTTTCGAATGTTTCTATTCTCTTTCTTTTCTGAATGAAATCGTCTGCAGCCGGGTAGCTTAAAAATCAATTTGATGCAGGAAAACAAAGAAACAAACCACAGATAAACAAAATAATCTGTATGCGTTTTAAACCAGAATAATGGATATTTTAAATGAATTTAATACAAACACTGCTGTGAAAAAGTGTTTGTCCTAGTAGATTTCTTCTATTTTTTTTTTTATTTTTTACTTTATCGTCTTACTTCTATGTTCCAGATTATCACAGATTTTAATATTGGATAAAGAATATGATGAGTTAATGAAAGAGCTATGCTAACCAAACTGGCCTAAGCAATTGTCCCTCTTGTCAAATCATGATTTTACTTTGAATTACCTCAATTTTTATTTTTATTTTTGGTTAATATTTTGTGAACTGATTAGACAAAAGTGCATTTTTGGGGGGTTGTTTTTTTTTAGTAAGTATGTGACCTGTTGTTACATCTTGAGTAAAACAAACACATTTCAAAAAAAAAAAAAAAAATTGCATTCAAAGTGGAAAACATGATAGTGAGAGTATGATGATCTGGGGCTATACTAGTAATTCTCAAAATTGTTCACAAAGCCAGTTTGTGAAGGAAAAAGGAATCCTGGATGATAAAAACCATAAACAAATATATAAGGCTTCCTCTGTCTTTTTGAATGTTCAAAACCAAAGTTCCTCTATTATAAATACTAATAAGCTGCTTGTTTAGTTGGAAAATTCAGTAAAAAAAAAAAAAAAAAAAAAATATATATATATATTTCCAGAATTTTGAGGATTTAGGGGGGGGGAAAAAACGTATTCCAGGAACATTTTCAACAAAACCATAAAATTCCCCCAAAACATCTCTTTTACAATGTAAATAGGAGCGAGAGAAAGACAAAGAAGAGTCAAGTTAAAAGGCAATCAGCCAATCAGGGCGCTCCTAAACAGGGAGAGATCCAGGTGACGGTCGTCGCAGCAGCAACATCAAAGAGCTGCTGGGATTGATCAGAAAACACAGATCACACTACCGGACCGATCAATAAGCCAGCAGCCGCAGAAACAGAACAATGACCAGAGACACCACTGAACACACACATTTGTCTCTGGCCACACCAGCGATCCTCATTGTCTCTCTGTTCACACACACACACACACACACACGGTTTGGCTTCACAACACATCCTGCAGCTCCAATCACCAATTATTGATCGGGATGGCTGTGTCTGTGCAAGTGTGAGGCCACC